CGTCCCCAGAAGACCATCGATCGATGGTGGCAATCTTCTTCTATGGATGATTATTGGCCGTTAACCGATAAGTGCCAGTGTTTTTGTCAAATGTTGCGGTCGTCATTGTATTGACTTAAGCACACATTGTTTTCAAAATTACAGTGTTGATTTAATATTTTAATTAATTTTATGTGATGTTATAATTATAATAATAATAATATATATTTTTTTGACCAGTGAAAAATAAGAAGATAAGGGAGTAGTTATAATATTGCTGCAGTACTGGCAGTTAAAACCCTTTACTAAGAAGTCAAGGGGTTGGTGCACTCCCATCGCGGTTGAGACCGCAAGTGCAATAATATTATTAATTTAATTTTTAATATCAAATATTATTGTATTAAAATCAAAAATAAAAATGACGATAAATATTTAAAAATAACTTAATTAATGACAATATTTTTATTTTTACACTACTCTCTTATTACTCTAATTTATAAGGAAAAAATAGTTTTTTATTTTCCTCTAAAATAATAAAGGAGTACATACATATATGATATTAAACACTTAGGCTTCGTTAGTTCATATTTTAATTAAATTTTTTATATATTTTTATTATTTTTAATTAATATTTTATATATATTTAAAATAATAAAAAATAAAAACCTATAACGATGATAACAGATTCCAGTATAACACTTTATAATATACAAATGAGTCAGAAAACTTTAATAATTGCACTGCACTGACGAAAGGTGAAGTGCTTCCTCTTCTTCTGACATAAAAAATCATAGTTTTGTGGTTCGGATTGCTTCAGGACTTGCCTTGTGTCTAAATGAAGTTGTTTACTGATGTAGTATATGGATGTTGATCGTCGAATCGGGCCTTTAGGCTAAGTATTTGGACGAGATACTCAGAGTTTTGAACTCTATTACCGTTATGAATTTCATCAAGAGTGATTTAATAATCATATATATCATTTGAAGAAATGAAATGTTTATCCGATCTGAGGATCAAATCTCCAACCGCTAACAACTAATTCGATAACTTCTTAATTATTATCTTTGTAAAAATAAAAAAGTATATGGATGTTGATTAGTAAAATATTTTAAAATTTTTTTAATTTGTCTTTAAAAAATAATTAATATATTTTTATCATTAAATTATATAAAAAATAAAATTTAATTTTAATTTTAACAATTAATTAATTTAATTAACTTATATGATATTGATATTAAAATTAATATTAATTTTTTATTTTTTTACATAAAATAATAATTAAAATATATATTATTATACATAATCTGTAACTAAAGATATATGATAAAAAAATTCAATAACATAGAGCTATTGTCTTTTGTGATTATTGTTTTCTATATCTAGCGGTTATTATTATTATTATTTTTTTGACAAGGATAATGGTTATGAAATTAGTTTGAATTAGTTATTAGCACATGAGGATTCGATCCTCAAACTGAGTGAATATTTCACCCCCTCAAATGAGGCGCGCGGTCATTGGGCCATTGTTTGGTGGAATTCATGACGATGATAGAGTTCGAAACTTCGACCACCTCACCCAAGTATTTAAGGGTTGAGGTCGAACTATTGGGTTTAAAAACCTGATTATAGTGGTTAATTGTTTCCACATATGGGTTATATTATCGTTAAGGACATATATGTAAGCTATTTTACTTCACTAATAATTTTATGTATATTATTTTAATTAAATTGATGATTAAATAAATATTAATTTTTATTTTTTTAATACAAATT